GGCGTCCACCGTATATTATTTTTCTCTTTTTTCTTTTTTTCTTTCCTTTTTTTTTCTTTCCTTTTTCTCTTTTTTTCTTTTTTCTTTTTGTCTGTCTTTTTTTCCTCTTTCCTTGCCCTCTGATTTGAGATTGTATAAAGCTGAGCACCAACAAACTGTATCTTTAATCCTGATGAAGGCCAGACTCTAGGCCGAAACGTCGAAATAAGCCACGTTGTGACCGCTCAATGAGGATATACTGGACTAAATATATATATATATATACATATATATATATATATATATATATATATATATATATATATATGTATATATACATGTGTGTGTGTGTGTGTGTGACGTATGACGTAATAGATGGTTAGATGGTTTGTAGAAGCAGCAAAGAAGGAAGTGCTTTTTGAAATAATAATAGGGCCACACGAGTCGACAGGATGTAGACCTGCCAGCCCCTTCATCAGTCGCACATCATCGACAAGGTTCTCCGCAAGACACTCTGTTCATAAATGAACTACTGAACCAGCAACTAGCAGTACACATCGACGAGCATCATGACGGAATCATCGACTGACCTTCCTATCCCCAAGTACACCAGAGCAGCGGACGATGGACCTGTACAGGACTAGTTCAATCTGTTCGAGCTCCACGCTATTGCTGCATCATGGTTGGAAGGGGAGATGGGCACCAGCTTTCCCGACTACGTCTCCGGTGAGGCCTTAAAATTCTACCTCACCCACATATTTCAAAACGACGAGTCATGAGAAAAGATCAAAGAAGAAATGATCGTTTGGTTTAAAGAATACAATGACGACTACGACTGAAGACTTGCTTATAACCCATCATTCACAGACAACCGCACTCGGTCGTCACAGTCAAAAGCAGCCTTCACGCATTGACCGACCACCTGCTTTTCCATCGCGTGGATCTTCGGTTGCTCACGACGCCCACCTCAAATCTCATACGATGTTCACTATGGTTGGAATAGAGCAAAGAAGCTCGGAGCATACTCAGTCAAGCCCGGGACCTACAGTTCAGTTTCATGCACCAGAAGAGCTCGCATCATTTGTTGCACAGAAAACAGTCACTCCCAACTAGAGTCTGACCAAACCACGCCTATTTCGGTGTCGCCATTGAGAGAACAGCCATCTGAAAGCACAAACACAGGAGGCTCGGAAGCAACTCTTACAGGTTGCCAGGTGCCAGAAGCCTACGTAATGAATACTGCCGCAGGCGCCTCTGATAGTCCTCCAGTCAAATCTGTCTTACCAACTTCGCTGCCTGAAAAGCATTGAAACAGCTGCCGACTGGACACTACATAAATTTGTATATATGTCTACATTCTACATTCGAACCTGAAAGGCTACAGGCACTCCCAACCTTGTCCGTTCCTCACAAGAACTCAACCGATGTCATGACCAGGGCCGATTTCCAGGGTGTGGTAATGCCTCCAGGACGCAACAGCCAGCCTAGTCCAGTAGAGTTCTCTTAGATATGGCCGGACTGCTTCCCTCTGCTGTGGAGTTTCGTGCGAGTTAAGAAAATCCCTTCTGAAATGGAACTACGGTGCATTTTGACATTTTTCGCTTTAACACTTTGCGTTTTTGTTGTTTTGTTAAGTGTCTGACGTGACGCCTTCCGGGGGAGGGGAATCATGTGACGTATGATGGATTGGATGGTTTGTAGAAGCAAAAAAGGAGGAAGTGCTTTTGGAATATACATGACGTATGAGCCAGGCAAAGTCTCCCAGTCATTATAGCATATATATACATATATATATATATATATATATATATATATATATATATATATATATATATATATATATATATATATCCAAAAATGCTGAGTTTAATGCCCTGAATGAACAATACGATCGCGAAGGATGCCGTAGAGGAACGTTCAGGGAACATGGACCACCTGGGCTTCTGTTACGTCCATTGAGCAATATAAATAATTTTTCACGTCTCTTTTCCAGTAAGCTGCACAAGATTGGAAAGCATTACCAGAAGACTTTTTTGTGTCTGATGATCATAACCTTTATCGCGACTGTGTTTACAATGACGTGTAATTGTTTAGTTTTTGTTTGAGCTTTCTGCAACCTTTCAACACGTTAACCTATTGTTTACGTTGATGTTAACCATGTTTCACAAATATTTCTGTTGTTTTGTTCGTCACTGCAAAACATGTAAACTAAGACACTAAATATGTCTCGCCTGCGACAATGCATTTCAGACCATGCTGGTATCGCACAAATAAATAAATAAATAAATGAATAACTGAATTAGTAAATAAATAAATATGTCCACACAGAGTTCAAACATGGCCCCCTCAATTGAAAACGCGGCTGCCGTCACCAGGGTTTGATTCCACCACCTCTCAGTCAAAAGTCCAGCGCCTTGACTATAGTACCACCGTGGTGGGTAGAACGAATAGGCATTTATATATGATCCCAACCACATGACAGGCCTATGACGTTCCCTGTTTTTTTAACATACATCATATAGCTTCGTTTTGAAGCCTTACAAGCATATATCTCTTTTGCAAGGCGTTGTCAACCGTCATCTTCGTTGTTTCAATAATTTTGTTTTCCCGTCAGGCTCAGCCGCGTATAATGGTTAGCGAACTGACGAAGGAAAGCTTATATTATACTCAGGCGCATGAGTTGCTCGAACGCAGTTCTCGTCACATAGCTTGTACGTAGCACCTGAAGTAAAATGCGATAATATTTGTGTTAACGTGGCAGCAATTATAGAGATGCTACCAACGCTATATCGATGAGCATGTTGCTCCACCGTCATATTGATGTTGCAGAAAACACATGAGTCGCCGCTGATATAGCGGTTATAGAGAGTCAAGAGTTGCACACACAAACAGGACAAGGATTGATGTTCCCTAAAAAGATACGTCATATATTTACGTGATAAATGCTTTGCTACGTACGTACGTGATGCTTCCAAATTACCTCATTAGTTTGGGTAAAGAGTGCTGACAATTGAGTCTGAACATTGTCATGCATTTCGCTCAGGTTTCATAAGTTCAGGTTTCTCAGCATGCGAAGCGCGAAAGCTCCGCTACGGGACTACGAACCTTGCAGTACACTTATACGTTCGTGGTCCTTCGCATCGGCTCAAGAGATTGAAAATAGGCTCTGACGTGCATGTTTTTTTCTCCTTGGTAAAGCTGTATAAGTCTGTACCGCAAAAGATAGAACTGAATGCAGGCCAGTCACAAAAGAATGTGTGCTCTCTGCATAATAGAACTGTTTTGTAGCATAGATATGTGATGTAGTTTATAACATCGCGCTAAGTTAAGGCAGGATACATATTCAGATATACTGCCCGCTGCCTTCACGAGATGCTACGCCAAAACACTAACACTTCACACTAAGCATACGTACCTTTTTTTTTGTTCTTTCAGTGTCGCTAATGTGTTGCCGAATCTTTGTTCGATTGCAACTGCGTAATCTTAAGCCACGTGGACCAAAGAACAAGTAAAATGAGAAAAGTTCTTCAAATCACAAAACTAAGCATGATTGTTGTGCAATTTCGCCGCATGATTGTGAAAGCGACCTCCTCGAATGTTGTGACAAATATCTGAACGTTTAGAGTCCATGCACAATCGAAATTTTATGTTAGTTTCTCCTGTGTATTGAATGCGGCCGTTGATATTCAGCGTCTATCCCCTGTTGTTCTTCTGTTCATGCTGCTCTTTTTTCCGCTGCTGTTAACATTTATCAACGACTTGCTTATTTAGGAATACAATAACAATAATTGTTGTTCGTTAATTTGGCTCCTTTTTCCTTTTGGCAGTGGCATTCAAAATTCTCATCGTTATCTCTAAGCAGCATATTTTTGTCAAAATGTACCCAACCTAATACACTGCACGCTGTTCATAGTGCTGTCAAGAAGCATCATGAATGCACACTAAACAAAGAAGCCTGGGCCGCCCTCGACTTGCGCTACGCTATCCAAGCGAGTGTGGAGCATTGGGGCAAGTTGCTGACCAACTGAATGTCATAACTACCAAATAACTTTCGTCGACAGAAAAAGAAATACGGCAGAAACGAAAGGAAGGGGTGTAAACCAGTTTCTCGTAACTGGGGGAGATTAAAAGGCCAGGCATGCGCGTAAGGCGCAGCACAGTCACAGCGAAAGCTAGAAGAGCGGCCTTTCAGAACCTTTTGTAAACACTTATTGGGTGACTACTGCAACACGATTGCTTGATACCCACTACGGCATTATGAATAAAATGTTTTGGTAGAAGACCGGCACTGGCTATGCTAATTTGTTTTGTCATTCTTCTTAGAAGTGTGGTATCCGCTAAACACTTATTAGTTATTTTGTGCCGATGTTTCATGCAGTGTCTGATGACGTTGACGAACTTGATGTCTGAAGTGGGCATGTGCCACAGTTATTAGGATGAACAAGAACAAGTATTTATAATGGGTTGAGCACTGGACGACCCACTCGCTCGGCTAGTTGCATTGTGCCACGACTGCTTTTTTCTTTCGCTGTTTTAAAACGTTTTTAAGTCGTAATAACGTGATTGCTTTCTCGACACCAAGCCTGCCTAAGGCAAGTTTGTCAACAAGACCCAAGCACCGGCGTAGCTCAGTGGTAGAATACTGGGCTGGCACCCAGTGGAACCGGGTTCGAGCGCCACTGTGTACACGGCGCAAGTCTTTCTTTTTTCTAATTTCGTGCGTTCTGATTACGGCCACCGGCAGCAATGGCGGCCACGGCAGCGGAGTGTGACCTGAGTTGTGATCTCATAGCACCTTTCACTGTAAAAAGAAGTGGAGACAATTAGAGGGGATCGAAGAGCGGCAACTGCCTGCGGAACCATGGACGTCCTGTTTTGACTGTGTCTTAGGCAGCTACAATAGATGCTACTTGCCCAACATTCTAGGCTGACATTATCAGTCCAATTGTTTCAATAAATGATAATACTTCGTTCCTTAAACACACCAGCAATATACCGTATAGTAATGGTGTTAAGCTCACCGTTGTAGCATTCTCGGCCTCTGTTCATCTCGGGTGGACGGTAAAGTAGCTCCTTTGCAGCCCCAAAGGCTTTCAGAGAATCAAAGTCATTGACAATCACCACCTCGCGCGAGAACAGTTGAAGCCTGCAACAGCAGTTTGAAGTAATAACAGGCATAACACCACCAGGCTTAAGCATATAGCACCAGATATTGTCTCAGCAAAAGCAAAACCGGAGATTGTGGTAGCAGCTACGACATCAGCTCCTAAAGAAACTAGGAGTGTTAAGCATTATCTTTGCATGGTCATCAAGTATTTTCTTTTGCTTTTTCTGGTTTTCATTATATTAATACTAGGCACCAGCTCAATGAAGTTTTCCGTGTACACAGATATACGTACAGAACAAATCTAAAAGTAAGAGAAATCATACGTCAGGTAATTGTTGTAGAAGTGCAGAAATAATAAGGTTTTATACGTACAGTAATGTAAGCGCGCGAATATACGAACTCTTCTATGCGAACAAATGTTGAAGATTAAGTAGCTTACTGAGTGCATTTTGCTTTATTTATATATCAACGTGACATGGTACAGTTTCTAGCACAATACCTTCTGTATCAGACAATGCTGTCGCAAAAGTCACTTCTAGATTTGTCAGGTCTAATGAAGTTCTTACCAAAACTCATAATTAAAACAAATTGTCATCTTAAAAAAAGCGCAGCTTGCTCAGTTCCTTTAAGAAAATAGAGTGCTCGAATTAGTACTTGCGTTGAAAACTGAATCATTCCAACGTTGAAACAAGCTTTTAATAATTGATCACGTCTTGTTCTCTCCTCAGGGGCTAAAGATATTATCTGCTATTGACAAAAAGCAACACACCAAATGAACTTTTGAAACATACCTGAAGACAGGACCATACTCCTTTGCCATCTTCACGGCTTTCTTGTACAAAACCGGATCAAGAAGCTCCAGATGGCCAATAAATGAAGACAATGGTGGCATGGACGGAAGCCGGGTACCAGGTGGTAGGTTAGGTTTCCGTGTAAGCTGCTGTGATTTCAGCCATGACAACAAAATGATGGCACATGCCAACAGAAGCATCTGCCACTCCGTCAGCATCGTCCAATGAAGATCGTTGTTCAGGAAAACAAAGATGGGTGCTGTCACTTATAGTGAGCGTTGAAAAAGAAAGAACAAATATTCAGAATTTAATATTATATTTAAAAACATGGTATGTAAGTACTTGTATAAGCTTCCAAAATTTATTTTCGGTGATTATCATGAAAAATAATTATTAAATAAAAGGAAAATTAGGCTTAAGTAGAAAACTAATACAGTTATCTATAAGCTTTATTTGGGCTCTCAGAAAAAGTTAGGAAGAAAAACTAACTATCTGGCCTCTCAATAACTTCTGGCTATTATGTGTAGGTCGATTAGTTGTCACTATCTAGCACAATGCTTGATAGCTGAAGGGACAATTTTAGACAGCTGGCACCAAGCGCACAAGAGCTCTGCAGTGATACGAAAACAAAGATGTTTCTACCTTATATATATAAATTTCTGCTTCACATGTCAGCCTGTAACACATTGAAAAAAAACGCCCATTAAGAAACCAATCTATTCAACCTACTGCAATTAAGCTAGAAATTTTGTAATCCTTCGTGAAGTTCTTCACCAACGTGCCAGGCTGCAAGCCTTTTCTTGTGGAAAATCACGACTCAATTCATTCACATGCCATATGCAACAAGTCACATAGACAAGACGCATTTTCTATGTGTAGTCAAAGGATTCGTAAATAATGGACACAAATTATGCGTTAACGAATGATTTTCTTATAATTGCACAAAACAAAAGTTGTTACGCAAGCTTTACGAGAACTCAGCACAATAAAGATTAGGCCGAGGCGCCGGTGCACTTTAATGCTTGTTAGGCTTGAGCTTTACAGCGGTTGCTATCTCTTGCAACTGTGAAAGGGTGCTCATGTGCGCAATTTAAGCCTCGTTTTGACTAAAATGTACTCTTGCACGTCAGCCACATGTCGTGTTGTCAAAACTAGTGTGTGACGCGCTCCCTTGTTTCCTCTTTAGAAGAACGCTTGGTTCTGCGGTCTGTAATCCTTTAGTGAAACCATCAGTTTTTCGAGGTGCCTCGCCTCCCCGTCTTGCGGTGATGGCCATGGTGCATGCCAGAGGCCCGCCTGATCAGAGGTCCTCACACCCGTCAACTACAAGAAAGTGAGCTGGCTCTCCAAGTGACACTGAAGACACCGATCTCTATTCTATGTCAGAAGACGACACATCCGATGAAAGCTTTATATCTGTCCAAGGTAAGAGGACAAAGAGAAGGACGGCGATTGCATCAGCTTTAGCTCCTTCCTGCAAGTACAGAGACTGTACAGTCAAGGCCTGCGCGCTGGCCGCACGTCATCATCTTCATGCCGGAAGATCCTTCTAGCAACCTATGACTTCTGAACAGGCATGCCCTTTCCGTTGCTCTGGAATGTTCGGTGTCACATCAAATTAGGACGTAAGAGTAAACCCAAGGAAGAATATTCTCGCCATAGACGTGCACGATGTAATTGCGCTAGGAAAGCTGCAGCAAATGACTCGGCTAGGCAGCACTAAAATGCGCCCCTTTATCCCGATAGATGATAAATCAATTGCCGGTGTAATTTATGACATCGACATTGCCATTCCTAGTGTTGGCTTGTCTACCCTCATCAAGCCTGCGAACGAGGGAACTGTCATTACGCAAGTGTGGTGCCTTGGAATTACGCGCTGCGTAAAAGTGTTTTTCAAGGGACATTGCATAGAGTCCTACGTTAAAGTCGGACATTTCCGACATCCGGTTCGACCATTCATCCAAAAGACCTTTCAATGTCAACAGTGCTTCAGGCTAGGACGCGTCAAGGGCGTATGCCCCAACTCACGACTGTGTCTCTGTTACGCTGAACCTCATGCTGAAGACGCCTGTCGGGCGACTACTCTGTTGTGCGCCAACTGCAGCGGTCCTCACACTGCCTCGTCGAAAGACTGTCCTCGAATCCAAAAGGAGCACGTAGTTCTCAGACAAATGGCCCGAGACAACTCGACACACAGGGAGGCAGCCGAAGTAGTCCGGCGTCGGCATCGGTATCATTGAAAGTCTTCAAAGAAGGCACATTTCCGAAATGCAAGTTCCCACTCTTTAGCGGTTCCACCCAGTAGCGCCGCGAAAGGACCCACCACTTCTACGAAAGAAGCGGAGAAGCCTCCTTCTCCGGAGGAAAGGTCCACGCTCCCGACCCGATCTTCTCTCAAGGAACCTCAGCAGTTTGCGGCCACACCAGAGCCGCCTCCAGCCTGGGAAGATTTTCCTAAAACTGATTGTCGAATGATCTCGGTGCTGCATTCCCTCAGGAAGCCAACCGAACAATATTAGTCGACATGAAGACAATATCTGCTCAAAGCGCACTTGGGGTATTGGACGCCCTAAGCCCTGTGCTTGATTCTCTCATCTAAAAAGATGGCTATTCCCACCTCAATATTTCCTAAAGAAGTCAAGGCTGCATTCATCATCCAAGAGAACGCCAGAGGACGAAAATGACGCTTTTCAGATTTTCGTCAGTTTATGTTTACCAACCTGTTTCCTCTCATGGTCATTTGTGAACCCAATTTGTCGAAACCAGTAAGACTTTCGGGTAGGAAGCTGTCATGTCTTCAACATACGGTGCGTGCCGCAAATTATCGTCTTTGTTCGTCATGAACTGACGTATTTAGTGCAACTAATTGCGCCTCACAATGGCAATCCGTATGTATGCTTCACTGTGAAAAAGACCAAACTCGAGTTTACTCTCGTAGGCATTTATATGTCGCCGTCGAATAATCTCGATTCCAGGAAATTAGCGGATAATTTGAGAGTGTGGCCTGCACCATGGGTCATCATAGGTGATATCAATGCGCACCATCACACATAGGGAAGTACGCGGACAAATGCAAGTTGACGCAGGTTAGCAAACATCGCCTACAACTATCGCTTTACTCTCCTGAACGATGGTAGCCGCACTTTTCTTCGAGGGGTGACATACGGCAGCTGTCTCAACCTTGCTTTTCTCTACAACTCCCTCGCAAGATACGTCAATTGGTTTCCAGATGTTGAGACGCGAGGAAGTGATCACAATCCAATCTACCTTAACATCAAAGATTTGTGTAGTGTTGGTCCACGGACGATCATTTGAGCAGTCCAATGGACCAATTTCAAATCTGACATGGAAGATACTTGCAGCGATGGCTTATTATCTGGGTTAGAGCAAACGATTAGCAGCACAATGCAAAACGCCACTCGCAAGGTGACGATATCTTTCACATGAAACGACTTTGACATAGAGTTGGAGCGACTCCGAGCACTTTGACGCCGGGCGGAGCATCGGTATCGGTCTACAAGATCAATTCACGATCTTAGGGCAGCCAGGAAGATGTAAAGGAAGATTCAGCGTCGCATGAACAGATTAGCGTCGGAGCAATGGACAACGTTTTGCCTGTCACTAGACCCCCCCGCCACGGTGGTCTAGTGGCTAAGCTACTGGGCTGCTGACCCGCATGTCGCGGGTTCAAATGCCGGCTGCGGCGGCTGCATATCCGATGGAGGCGGAAATGTTGTAGGCCCTTGTACTCAGATTTGGGTGCACGTTAAAGAACCCCAGGTGGTCTAAATTTCCGGAGCCCTCCACTACGGCGTCTCTCATAATCATATGGTGGTTTTGTGACGTTAAACCCCACATATCAATCAATCTGTCACTAAACCCTCGCAAGCCATTCTCGCACTTTTGGAAAATGGTGCAAGGTCTGCGTCACCTTACGGAACAGCGTTTTCCATTCAAAGCGATAGCGCTATTTAAAAGGAGGCAAGACATCGATGTCGCAGAATATTTCTGTACGCAGATCGCCAACAGAGCCATTAGTCCAGATTTTCCAATGATAGGTGACGTCCCCCGTTCCCGTGACTACCACATGGACCTCCCTTTTACGATGGGGGAGCACTAGCTCTCTGTGGACGTTCAACTTTTCCGGGCCCAGATGGTATTCTGTACCAAGCCTTGTGCGACCTTGGAGAAGGTGCAGAAGAGAACTGTTGAGCTTTTACAGCATCTCGTGGCGGGATGGCAATATTCCTGACGACTGGAAAGTAAGCCGCCTGATACCCATCTTGAAACAGGGCAAATCCTCACTGAACTCTCCTCATACCGCCCAATAGCACTGGCCAGCTGCGCAGGCAAGATAATAGAACAGATGATACTAGGCCTGCCTGGAGTGGTATCTTGAATACTACAGGATTTATCCGAATTCCATGGCTGGTTTCCGACGTGACCACTTTTTCATTGACAATGTCGTTCATCTAGTTTCGTCCGTTAGGCACGAAAGATCCCGTAAGTGACTATCTACAGCTTTGTTTCTAGATGTGGAAGGCGCGTATGATAATGTACTACATGAAGCCATTTTGTGTGCTCTTGCGGGGGTTGCCTTGGTGGTCGAGTCTTTCGGTGGATTTCGAGTTACCTGGTTGCAAGACCATTCTTTGTGTTAACAGAAGATGGCCCAACTACGCGACGCTATACTTCCATGGGTGTTCCTCAAGGCGGAGTTTTTAGCCCCACGCTATTCAATGTTTCACCATTTGACCTTGCTGAATACTTGCCAAGTACCTTTAAAATTTCCATATACGTCTGTGTCTGGACGTCGGCAGTCACACGTTTTCAGATACGTTCCCGGCTTCGAAGAGCAGCAACTATGATTGCCAACTAATTGTTGAAACAAGGTCTCAGCATATCACCAGGAAAAGTCACGCTGGTGGCCTTCACTCGCAAAGCAATGACCCCTCATGTCATCTCAATTTGCGAGCGACCAATTTCTTACGCCAGAACCCCACCGGTTTCTGGGCATCACTATATAGAGACCTCTGTTGGAGTCCGCATGTATAGGAAGAAGCGCGTGAGGCCTATGTGATGCCGGAACAGCTGCACAGTTCGGTATTAGTCGATAACATTGTTCTTTGCTATAAAGTTGAGACATTGTGTTTTCTTTAAACAAGAAGCACCTGTACACAAGCCAGCGAGATGCTGGCTAGTTCCAATGGTCGCATTTCGGTTACAACCAACCTGCATTGCTTAAGCGTGCTCTGCTTCTATGACTTAGAAAGATGGTCTGGTCGCCGTCGAGATATGAATTCCGCAGATCCCCCAGCTTGCCGGAATCTCTTTTTGAATTGGATCGAATCTTTATATCAGACGAGTAATAAAAAACATGGCTGCAGAGAAGAAAAAAAATTCAACGGATCCCACGTACCTGCAATTCGACGTTATGCGAAGCATGCGGAGGGAAGGTGACCATGTTGCAATTTTTTATTGAGCAACAAGTTGTGAAATGACGCTAAATATATGTGAAAATGTGACACACACACACTTACTGTTGAAGAGTAGCAGATGTTTGTATAACCAGTTGTTTGAATTTGCGCAATGGTGCCAACTGGAACATGCGTGTTAGCCACACCAGAAGCTGATATGAAGCACTGATGCTTCCGAAGATGCTGGCCCTGGACACTGCTACGTAAGTCAACTTCAGCGCATGGCAAATAACCACAAGTGACGCTAAGGCAACGTTAGGGCTGTGTCAAATGACTGGATATGTACTCTTTATAAAATTGGGTAGGCAACAACGCAACCACTATTGACGTTTCACAAAGATTAGCGTCCATTTAAAAAGTAGTTTCGAGACATGGCTAGCTGTGTGGTAAAATGCTTCATCGCCTCGCAGAATGCTTGGGCTTGATTCTAGCTAGCACCTTGACATCTATTTTTTGCAGTCGTCGTGTCGACGCTATCGATGTCGGGTATTTCTTAACGCTCGCGCGTTGAAATTGCCCATGTGTGTTCTCATCGTTCCGGGGTAACTGCAAAGTCTTAATCACCTGTAGCACATACTCCTATACCAGCAACACATACCTGCCCATGCGTATGTGCAACTGTCTGGCGGGAAGTGTTTGACAAGGTACGTTACGGGATTGTGACATTATTCTTGTCTTGACCAGCGCGTCATATTCGTAAACCATCTTACTCTCCCTTGCTAATTTTAGTTCACGCCAAGTTAAGGGGGTGACCAGGGGAACACCCAAACGTACGCAGATAGATAGATAGATAGATAGATAGATAGATAGATAGATAGATAGATAGATAGATAGATAGATAGATAGATAGATAGATAGATAGATAGATAGATAGATAGATAGATAGATAGATAGATACATACATACATACGCCTAGTCTCCGAAGTTCGCTAAGAAACATTTCGCAATTAAAAGGCCACTCAGTTGCGGCTTGACGAAGCTGCCATTCCCCTTACACATCGGTTAGGTGGTGTATATAGGTGGATAAATAGCCTATACATAAAAAACTCTAATAGTAGAGGAAAAGAACATGCGGAGTTAGTCAGCGAATATTTGTATTTACCATATTTCGTCTTTAGTTGAAGCTAAAAAAAAGAAGGTCAACGTGGTAATGAAAGTGTAGCAGTGGTGTGCAAGTCATGGCTTTACCAGACATGTCGACTACACTGGCACTTAAAGTGTAAATTGTACTCTGACGTAACCTCAGTACTAGGTGATGGCCTAGATTTTATTAATAACGAAATAAAGCACACTTTACCATCGCATGATGTAAACATCATACTTACTTTTCGGTTGGTGTATTTGTTCAGTCTCTGAAAACGCTTTAAATAGCTTTTGTAACCATATATTTTGATATTTATTACCTGTTTGGACTGCATTAGAAGCAGAGCCAACAGTGGAACTATTATTTAATTTTGTCCGACACAAACTTCTATCATATCGGTACATAGGCCTTCTTATTGCTTTGTATCAATTTCTATAACTACCACTACAACCAAAATTGACATTGCACCGACATTATGGCTGCGCAGGGCATTTTTCCGATGACAGTGCAGCAATCATTGAATTTGGGGTCCAATACGATACTTCATTTCACAATATTGTCCCTTAGGTTTTATCAGTATCACGCCTAATAAAGAAAACAAAACGAAACCTAGAGAATCCACGCCTTTCCTTGATGCCCGATCAGAAGCCCTGAACAATCAGAAGTTTTCGTTTTTGGTTACTGTGCTTATGGCCTGCTTATATAGTAGGCATATTTTGAATATTTCAACCTATACATTTATAAATATTTCTCGCTGACTGCCTTCCAATGCCACTGCATTCGGCTTTAGCAGATAAGTTTTTTCTGTTAGTTGCTTTTGCGGAGTTAAGTTTTATACTGGCAGTGCCCATCATTGCACATCAATTCTTGCGAGCTTCCCCGTCCTTTCAATTTGCACCTCAGGCGAATACGCTGGCCTCAATATTTACACAAGTAGAGCAGATGTGGGCTGGTGCAGACTGATATGACCGGATTCTAGTGCGCAAAGCTGCACTAGATTCCGTGTTCTTGAAGAGAAAAAGTAACATTGGGAACTCATTATTTTGATATCGTTGTTTCTTATCTGGTTTGAATATTGTGTGGTTTAGCTGATACCTAAAATATGTACACAATTTCTGAATTGCCCCAACCGATGATATCAGGCGATTTTCGACGGGTGCCATTCAGTTATTCCTGTTACACTGATTGATATGTGGCGTTTAATGTCTCAAAACCACCATATGAATATGATCGAGAGACGCCGTAATGAAGGGCTCCGGAAAGTTCGACCACCTGGGTTTCTTTAACGAGACCTCAAGTTTCAGCACAAGAACCTACAGCATTTTCGCCTCCATCGAAAATGCAGCCAACGCAGTTGAGAATTGACCCCGTGACCTGCGAGTCAGCAGCCGAGTACCTTAGCCATTAGACCACCACGGCGGGGTAACCTGTTAATCTCTATTAAATTTGGCTTCTTTATATTATGGGAGAAGCACCTCAGAGTCAATGATTGGCGGCCTGCCATGTCGTCGTCACAACTTAACTAAATACGACACGAAAATGCTATTAATCTCACAACTCGTCGCCGGTCAATATTATGCAATATATGAGTAACGCTTCCTCGTTCCTTGCTAAAAAGTATCGATCGGTGAAGCAGAGGTGTCAGAATCTCCAAAGGAATTCAAAAAGGATCTCGAGTTGCCTATCTGAAACCTGACACACATACCTGCATCTCCAGGGTAAAGTCACCTATCTGAAAGACTACTTCTTGAAACGTATCTGCATAATAATAGTGCTTTAGTGGAGCGAAAGTTAGTAAAACAGTAAACAGTACAAATTTTGTTGGGGAAAGCATTGCACCCACACTGCACGTTTCGCCTCTTCTCGGGTTGCACGATATAGCGAAAGTCACAGTCCCTTTCTTTGTCGCTGCGTAGTGCTACCACCTTAGTTTTTCGATGCGATCCGGCTGCTCTCACCACGGCCGATTTGTGTAAAGTTATTTATTCCGAGAACACGAGATTCACATCGCACATTTTTCGAGCAATGCGCTGCACTGAAATACAATATTATCCTAATACTACGTCTGTTATGTGAATTCGACAAGGGTGAGAATAATATTATTATTGGTATTAATAAGTCATAATGCTTTTGACATCTTTCATCTCAAAAGCACAATAATCTTATGGCAGGCATCATTAGAAAATGCTCCGGAAATTCATCTATCTCGCGTGGTTCAAGGTGCCCTGACATCACAGTACACGGGCATTTAGCATAGTCGCCTCCATAATATAATATTTATTATAACTCTATAGCACTTTACACATAATATTTAATTGTTGTGGTAGATGCACTAATTCGAGGCGGGCTCTTGGAGATACTGCACTTGAAAAAGCTTGTCGTGAGACGTGGTTGTATACGTTTGTCTTCCTAAGTTCAGTAGTCTCTCACACTTCTTAGGAATTTTTATTCAAATAAAGTAAATTTACTTTGTTGAACATTCCCTCACAACGTTCATACAATACTATACTTCGGTACCAGATGATTATATTCTTTTTGAATAATATGAGTAGCTTAAACACCTTACCATGCGAATCTGAATGACGAGAACAATCTTGCTGGTTTACGAAGATGCCGCCATGTGGACTGAGGAGAGTGCTGTGATCGAAAATGTGACGGAATCACAGATGCCGTGAAAGTGAAAAACTCATCGTTTGACCGCATCTGGCACACCTGCTCTTTGCTCTTTCTGTTTTCCGGGTAATAATTTGTTCAACACGCTTTCAGTATATGACAGTTATCTCAAGTACAAACGTCCGGGTATTTCAAGGGCATGTAAGTGCGTTTCACTCGCGCGCGATGCAACAGTTACGCGCTGTACGCGTTAGAGTTTATTACGATATAAATTATATGGACTTTCTCGGCTGGATTTTGCCGCCAACGTCGGTGGCGTGGACGTGGGTGCCGCCGTCACGCACCGTATATGTATGCATATCTATGTAGGAAAATGCCAAAAAATATTCAGGAAAGCCTCCGGCGTAGAATCGAGCTATAGGGTATTCTGAATCATGAGTGCGAGGCGTGAACCACTGAGCCACCGAGGAGTGCGTCCTTCAACGTTCAAACGCCAAGCTATCTATACCTTCTGCTACGCGCCGCTGACTGGCATCTCGGCGGGAACTATGGAGTTTTTAGCATTACCAGCAATATGTCGCATTGAGCGCGCGCAGCAACGCTGACTCGACACGGTGGCCGCCCTCTCTTTTCCTACGTGTGCTTTGTTCCGCAAAAAAGTAGGGCGTCGACGCTCCTTGCGCGCCCTTTCCTCGAGGTAGGAAGGGTCGCACGTCTTGCCTGGCATTCGGCGTTTAACGAAACGATTTTGTTTCAATTACTGGGCGCACAAAGGTCACTGCAATCGTTGCACAGTCATCCGAATGCGGCGGCTGCATTTGTGATGGAGGCGAAAATGCTGTTGGCCTGTGTGCTGAGATTCTGGTGCACGTTAAGGAACTCCAGGTGGTCGAAATTTCCGGAGCCCTCCACTACGGTGTCTCTCATATTCATATCATGATTTTGGGACGTCAAACCCCACATATCAATTGTATAAAGTATCAATCACTCAATCGTTGCACCGTCTACGTTTGTAAAAAGAGTGCGCTTTTCATACGAAAGCGAAGTAACAACTGAGATGCTTATTCGCGTTTATCTGTACGTGGGAGTACGTTTCGTGCGTCTATTGTGCGTGAGAAACGTGGGGCACGTATCGATTTGCTGCCAATATGCGTGTGACATTCCAAGTGGTTACTATCACGTTCTTTGACTTTTCTTAACGCCAGACATCTATGTGTAACACCAGGATTGTTTTCGTTCGTTATGATTGGACTAATGCAGTCGAATACTCTCACACCGACACCGATTTTAACACTATATCAATTGCAGCAATGGAAAGCTGATGTGCCTTTAACACTTGCATGTTTCCAAGGGTGAAGTAAGACGGTTACAGCACTGCCCGCGTGCCACACCTTCGATTTTACAACCTCCAGCTGTAAGGTGTGTGTATTGAAAGGCAAAGAAACGACAAACTATTGAAAATGAAGAAAATGGGTCATTGTTTTTGCCAGACCCCCTCCCCCCAACCACTCCTATGTCCCCCAGCACCCCTTCGGTATCACAATATAACTCGCCATTTAGCGTTCCGGCATTGTGAAAAAGCTAATTTCAAAAACCTGATATGGTGCGGAAAAGGCTCCAGCTTCGTTCAATGCCGTCTAGGAAATGCGATTCGAGTAAAAAACTTTACAAAAATCGACAGCTTTGTTGTTCTTGTCACTAAAGTCTGTTGGTATTCGCCACTCGATCTAAGCACTCGCCACCTAGCTGCCACCTGGAAACGGCGCTAACAGGGTCACATCAGTGATCTCAAGTGTGAAATACAGGTTCAAAACGCGTGTAGGGGTGCACTAAAAATTATCGTTTTTGAAGAGACAACTACGTAATTCTCCTTCTACGGTGAAACTTGAAGCATACAAAGCACTAGTGCGACCAATATCAGAGTGTGCCGACGTTAACCTATCTGGAGCCCTTGCCAACGATATTTCACTAACAAAATTGAAAAAGTCCAAAATTTAGCATTACATTTTTTTTATTCTTTGTACTCACGGCAGAGTGGTGTAACAAATCTACCCATTAAGGCAAGTCTATCCAAAACTTGAGCAACGCACGATAGTATCCAGATTAAAATTCTTGTACAAACTTTATCATGGGGACATCAAGTTATCACCGGTAAGCTATGTTGAGCAACCTTCAAACATTTAGTAAGGACGAATCTCAAGAAAACTTTCCGACAGACACTTAGTCACATTATTGCCCACAAGTTCGCTGGCTTTCCTCACGCTATTTTTTTACGGAAATGCGTTATCTGCCGAAGCAGGAAGTGCTGTCTCGGCGACTATATATCAAACACATTAAAGGTTTATTTTTTATCAAAGTGATGTATATTGTAAATAGCTTTATTTTTGAACGATTTCAGTCACTTGTGTATATTAGAAAATTTTTCGAGTGACATTCCAGGTTCTGTCATGAGTTATTATGTACTGAACATATATATATATCTTTTCAATTGTCTACCGATTATTTGTATATTATTTCAAATATACCAAGCTATAATGCCAAGCTATGAATTGTCTGATTGTAGTCTTCTATTTCACTCCTGCATGACACCGAGGAGAGCCTGCAGTATCTGCAAATAAAAGCAAATAGTATAAAATAAATTTTGCACATCACACGTATCTGAGAGTCGACGTTATGCGAAGCATGCGGAGGACAGGTGACGAAGTTGCCATTTTTTTGGGGTGACACATCATACACTATGCTAAATATATGTAGAAATTTCGAACGCACAGACATATGTTCGAAAGTTGCAGATGTTTATAGAAACAGTCGTTTGCGTTTGCGCAACGATGTCCACTCGAACATGCTTATTAGCAACTGCAGAAGCTGATATGAAGCGCTGATGTTCGCGAAGATGCTGGACCTGGACACTGCTACACAAATCAATTTCAGTGCGTAGCACCAAACCGCAATTGACGTTAACCCGGCGTGACGCGTTTATCAAAGAAGTATATATGTAGTGTTTAAAAATTGGGTACGCAGGACTGCAACCGCTGTTGACGTTTCACGAAGATTAGCGTCTATTTTAAAAGTAGTTTCGAAACCTGACGCAGCTCTGTGGTAGAATGACTGCCACGCAGAATGCTTGAGTTCGATTCCTGCTGGAACCCTGAAATTTATTAATTTCATTCATCGGGGGGTCAACGCTGCCAATGTCAGGGTTTTTTTTTACACTGATATTTGTTGTGTGCAATAATTGGGTCGACACCACCAATGCCGGGTAACGCCTAACTCTCACGCGTTCAAATTGCCCATGCTTTGTCTCGTCGTTCCTAAGTAGATACGAAGTGTCAATTATTTCTGGCACATACCCGCATACCACCAGTACATACCCGCCCATGGGTACGTGCCGCTGTCAGACGGGAAGTGTTTGACGACGTTCGCTACGGGATTGTGATATTATTCATGTCCTGGCCAGCGCGTTAAATTCGTCAAGCCATCTAACCCTCCATGCTGATTTTGGTTCCCTGCAAGTTAAGGAGGTGACCACAAGAGCACACTAACGTAAGCGGCTAGAAAGATGTATACGCTCAAAGTCGCTGAACTTCGCAAAGAAATTCTTCGCATATAAAAACCTTGAAAGGCGATATGTGAGCACGTTGCGCTCATTGATAAGCAGCCGCATAGTTCTACTATTTTTGCCATGCCACACGTGTGAGCCTGAAAAAGAAGACAACGATGTTCAAAGGCCGATGAAGTCGGCCGCAATGCATGACATGTATGTGGAAAGAAGATGGAAATTGCGTATCGTTCTCTCGCTTCTTGAAGCATGCAGACGACGTGCGACAGAAAACAGTGCAAGTCAGCAACTTACGCACTGGGAAGCAGGTGATGGACACTACGGTAGTTTTCTTCTGATCAATTCGCTCTCAACGACCCAATTCTTCTAGGTGAGCGCACAATTATGTAGCGTATGTTCGATCTTATTAGCATTCGGGCTTATCTAAGCAGCGAGCATAGCTTCGTTAAAAGAAGCAAGCACTTAGGAAATATGTTCCATTACGTGTATGACTGCATCTTAGGCATATGCTCGTTTTCTGCGCAAGTACCACTCGTTCTCAAATTTAGCTGCTGTATTTCTTCCCCTCGAAGATTTTTGATTCCAGATGTTTGTATATACACGCAACAAATGCGCTCATGATTGTCGTGCGTGCCTAGAGTGCGTGTATGTATGCTAGTGTGTACATATATCAGGTTCATGTACTGGTAGCGTGCGAAGTTGGGATTGTAAAATCAATGAACGCTTAATCGAATAAAAATACATGGGTAATCGATGATACATAATTTATTTACACATTTCGAATAAAAAAATTGGATTAAACTTTACTATTAAACGATAATGAAAACCGCGTCCTGACCCCCGACAGCACCACTTGGCCGGTGCGTATGAGTGCAAGGTGAACGACGCCGAGATTCGGAATTCAAGCTCAAACTAATCTCTTTCACTACAGAGCACGTTAGCACATTAGCTGAATGAACCCAAACCGTCTGCGGTCTCCTGCCTCATAAAGGCAAAATGAACTCACCCGGATCTCCGACCCCTATGGCGTCCTCCTCCAAGCCCTCTCCAAAGTTTCTACCGTGGGCAGGAGTATGGAGTATGCGTGGGCATTCATTTCATCAAATAAAAGCAGCAAGGCAATGCGTGAAAGTTGAACAAAGGTGTTTGTTCTTTTTCTATACTTTTCCGACGTGCAAGTGCATCGTCTAGTTGCTTGTTTTCTCTGTGTTTGTTTTCAGCTCGATTGATTGATTGATTGATAAGTGGGGTTTAACATCTCAAAACCACCATATGATTATAAGAGACGCCGTAGTGGAGGGCTCCGGAAATTTTGCACCACCTGGGTTCCTTAACGTGCACCCAAATCTGAGCACACGGGCCTACAACACTTCCGCCTCCATCAGAAATGGAGCCGCCGCAGCCGGGATTTGAACCCATGACCTGCGGGTCAGCAGCCGAGTACCTCTGCCACTAGACCACCACTGGCGGGACGTTTGACTTC